GTGCCGCAGACAATACCATCAAGAAAGTGAAAAGACAACACACAGAATGGGAGCAAGTATCTGCAAATCATATATCTGATATTCTAGGACCTAAAATAGTTAAAGGACTCTTACCACTGAATAATAAAAAGGTGAATGACCCATGGGGCACCTGGGTGGTTCAGTCAGTCTGACTTTTGCTCAGGTCATGATCTCGTGGTTTGTGAGTTCAAGGCCCACAGTGGGCTCTACACTGACAGTGCAGAGCCTGCTTGGGATTCTCTCTCTCCCCCTCTCTCACTGCTACCCCCCCACAAATAATAAATAAATAAACAAACACTTTTTTAAAAAAGTGAATCACCCAACTAAAAAATGGGCAAAGGATTTGAATAGCTATTTCTCCAAAGAAGATAAACAGATGGCCAGTGAGCCTAGAAAAGATACTCGGTCATTAGTCATCAGGGAAATGCGAATCAAAACCACAATGAGATACCACCTCACAACCACTAGGATGGCTAGAATGAAAAAAAGATGATAGCAAATATTAGTGAGGAAGTAGGGAAGGTAGAAGCATTGTATGTTGGTGGTGGGAAAGTGAAACGATGCAGCTGCTATGGGAAACACTTTGGTAGCTCCTCAAAGTGAACCTCTAGCTGTGCGACCCAGCAGTCCCGCCCCCAGGCATATGGCCCAGAGAAACGGAAACGTATGGCCATGCAAACACTTGTACACAAACGTTCATGGCTCCATTATTCACAGTAGTCAAGAGTGGAAACTTCTGCCACTTGATGAATGGATAGAATGTGGTAAACGCATACAATAGAATGTTATTCTGCAATAGAAAAGAATAATGTATGGACATGTGCTATAGCACGGGTAAAGCTTGGAAACATGATGCCTCAGAAGAGAAGGTCAGTCACAAAAGAGCACATATTGTATGATTCCGCTCATGTGAAATGTCCAGAAGAGGCGAATTCACGGAGATAAATTGATGGTTGGTTGCCTGGGGACGGTGGGGACGGTGGTGGGGGTGGAGTTGGGGGAGAATGGCTAGGGGCTGCTCAGGAACACGAGGTTTCTTTTGGGGGTCATTAAAATGTTCTAAAGTTGATGGTGGTGACAGCTCTGTGAATATGCTAAAAACCATAGATTTTACTCTTTAAATGGGTGCATTGTGTGTTATGTGAGCTGTATCTCCGTAAAGCTGTAAAAAAAAAAAAGAAGATACAAAACCATGTTAGTTTGATCCAATTATTTTTTAAAGTTCTGTGTCCTAAAGAGTTACAGACATTGAAAAAAAAGACTGAGAGGAAATAGAATAAAAATGTTTTAAATAACTATATCTAGATAGTGGAATTATGGGTGTTTTCTGTAATAAATATGTATTGTTTTTATAATTGGGGAGACAGTTGACGGGCCTGGGGGAAGGGTCTTCCATTGTGCCTTCCCCGGGACCCAGCAGTCCTTTGTGAAACCCTGATGGCGCCAAATCGTGTGTGACCAAACCTTAGGAGCAGAGGCTCTGAGCTCTCTTTGGAACAAAAAAAAAACCAGGGTTGGCCTTGGCCTCCTGCCATTTGTTACAGGAAAGTTTACACTAAAAAATTAAGTAAATTTGTAATTTACTCTGGAGTTTAGCTTTTAATAAAAACTATGTCCCAGGGCGCCTGGGTGGCTCAGTCAGTTAAGCATCCAACTTCAGCTCATGATCTCGCGGTTTTTGAATTCAAGCCCCGCATCGGGCTCTGTGCTGACAGCTCAGAGCCTGGAGCCTGCTTCAGATTCTGTGTCTCCCTCTCTCTGCCCTTCCCCGGCTTGTACTCTGTCTGTCTCTGTGTGTGTGTCTCTCTCAAAAATAAATAAACATTAAAAAATAAAAAATAAACTATATCCCAAGAGCTTCTCAGACACTCATGATGGCCTCCTTCAGCTTCAGGCCGTCGGACTCTCCAGGCCTTTTTTTGGAAGTCATTTTGAGAAGGTTACCCTATCTGAACGTATGTATATAGTTGAAATGGTGAAATGAATATTCTCACATTCCTTCCTGCAGGCAAATAGCAATGTTAGGAAACACACGCATATTTATTCTTTAAGCTCTTACATTTTTATGACATTCATCGGAAATGAGTTCTTTCTAGTAGCCTGGTGAAGCCAGATTTTGTTCATAAAGCTGCTTCGATGCATTGTCAATGTTTTGCTGCTCTTGGATTTTTCTTTGTTCCAATGAGTTTGTGAAGAGAGAAGCCTGGAGAAGGAACTGTTGAAAAGAAAAAACAACCTGCTTGTCGGTTATTTCAGAAATTTGTTTCCACATCGTATGCGTTTGGCTTGGAACATAAATTGTGAAATAGCCTTTGTTTCTTGCTCTTTTGTGCTAAACCCGTTTGCTGTGAATAACTAGTGTTGTAAAGAAAGGTTAATAAAGGGTAGACTCCCCCACGTGAGAAGGGAAAGTAACCAATCCTCTTATGTTGCCTACAGATCTAAGCAAGACACGTGCTGCCCTGTGTGGGCACAACTTGGCAATGTCTAAATACCCGGGGGAGGAGGACATTGTTCTTGGATGGGTGTTTACTCAGAAGCCTGTGTAGATAATCTGATGAGACTCAAAGACCGTAACCTCAGAGAAGTTGGACCATATCCCCTTGGGGGCTGGGCGCAGATGTTCAGGCAGAGAGAAAAGTGATTCCCAAAACCATGTCCTATCTGTGGCATGACTGAGTGCTCAGTGATCACAGACTTCTGCTCCTGCATCTAGAACCTGGTACTAGAAATGTCTTGGTTAGGGGTGCCTGGCTGGCTCAGCCGGTAGAGCATGTGGCTCTTGATCTCTGGGTTCAAGCTCCACGTCAGGTATAGAGATTACTTAAAATCTTAAAAAAAAAAAAAAGTCTTGGTTAATATCAAAAGATATTACAGCACTGGAAAGAACAGAGGTACTGTATATCCATTGAAGTGTTGGAATGACCAACATGTATTATTTTTTAAACAAGAGTTTAGTTGTTTTTATTTTGAGAGAGAGAGTGTGTGTGCAGGAGAGGGGCAGAGAGAGAGGGAGAGAAAGAGCCCGATGTCAGTGCAGAGCCCGATGCGAGGCTCAGTCCCACAAACCGTGGGATCATCACCTGAGACAAAGCCAAGAGTCAGACACTCAACCGACTGAGCCACCCCGGCGCCCCCAGAGTTAATTTTTTTTTTTTTTAATGAGACTCACCAACATTCCTAAGGGACACCCATGAAAATACCCGAATTTAAAGGACTCCTAGAACACAAAATGTCCCCTGATAGTCTCCCCTTATGTGCGATAACATTAGATTAAAAACCACAAGCAAACTCCCAGACCCCCAAGGAGAGAGACGGCATCTGCTCTGACAAGACTAGTGGACAGGTGGGTGCCACTCAGTCCACTAGGCCCTGTACAAGCTCAGTGACCGGTTCCCCTGCCTCGGACCCTCAGAAGTCCAGGCTTCAGAAAAGTCCATGTAGGTACATGCCACAGGCCTTTGGGGTACTCACAAGTCATCAGATCTCCAAGCGTCAGGTCCACGAGCACCAGGCCACCTGGGTACAGTCCCCCTGGCCAAGGCACACAGCTGTGACGTGGGCAGTCACAGCTGCCTGCCACAGACAGCGCTGGCATGAGCACACACACACTAAAAGTGTGAAGAGGGCGAGGGCATCTGACGTGCGTTATGGCCGCAGACAGCCCATAAGGTCAGAGCAGATGCATTTGTACAAACCGTAGAGGGAAGAGAAAGGGTGAACAACTCGCTGATTTCTGCGTTTCTAGTTTTTTTGGTCTTTGCTTTTCCAAGGCAAATTGTTTCTGTAAGGCCGTAGTCTAATTAGAGACCTCAGCATAAGGAAATGTCTTGTCCCACCAGGTGCCAGTCACACCACCTTCCTCCCTCGGGACAGAGCAGGTGGAGATCAGGGAGAAGGAGGCTCTGAGTCAGGCTGTGCTGATAAATGAGGGGCCTCGGGCAGGACACTGAATGGTTCCAAGTCCGTTTCCTCATCCCTAAAATAGAAGTAAGGGTTCCATGTTTCTGGGGCATCGTAGGGCATAAATGAGGGAGCCTGAGAAACAGTCTTATCACGGGGCCTGGCGCAGGGTCAGGGGGCAGCAACAGTGACCACGGTGGTGGTCAGCAAGCATTACCTGCACTGCCAGGTGCCCTGCCACACCCTACCTGGCCCTCTCCAGGCCAGGGTCCGTCATCTGATGATTAGCCTTGGAAACCAGAAACTAACTCAAATTTGTCCTTCTCCCACCTTACACACTGGCCATGCTAGATGTTTAAGACAGGTTGTACCAAGTGGAGGTGAGACCCAGGGTATCTCACTGGGCTGACTTGGGGAGAAGAGCTGTAGGAATTACACAGAATTCTCGAGAGCGAGCTCTCTCTAATCCAGGGCTGTGGTTCTCAACCTCACCTGTTCAGTACATCAATGAGAGCGCTTCTGAAAATTCTGATACCCGCTTAAATGAGTATCTCTGGGTATAGGGCCCAGTGTAAGCACCCTCCCTGCCTCTCTCTCGCCCAAGAGGGCTGTGGGTTCACAAGAACCTGGCTGACTGTAGGAGTCCTGGGCATGGGATGTTTTCGGGCTGCTTTGTGAGGACCAGCCTCATGGTTATATGTCCAGGAAGCCTCAGCTGGAAGAGATAGGCAGACATTTAATCAGAGATGTCATTAGTCAAAAGTGGGTACCAAGGTAATTTGGGAGGCAGGACAATCTGGTTGAACTGATTGTATGAAATATTAGCTGGTTCACAGGAAGACGGGTAGTAGAAGAAAACAGACACAGAGGAGTTTTTATCTGTGGTGGTGGCTTTTGTTTCTCCTTTTTTCTATTCACTGACATAATGTGAGACTTGTAATTTATAGGAAAGAAATACAACTCCCGTGGTCGCCCATCTCTATAGGAAGGGAACCTTCAGTGACTTTGTAAAAATAAGCACCTGTCTTGTTCTCCAGTTGCTTTCCAGCTAATTTCGGTTCCTTTTCTTTTGCCAGTTGCCAGAGGCTCCACCCTCGGAGGAGGAAGAACAGGAAGCCTGGGTGAATGCCTTGCTTGGAAGAATGTTTTGGGACTTCTTAGGAGAGAAATACTGGTCTGATCTGGTGTCTAAGAAAATCCAAATGAAACTCAGCAAAATAAAGGTATTGTTTTCCACACAAGAGGCTTCCAATTTTCATACTTCTTAATTTGGAAGTTTTGTATCATTATATCGTAAGTGAAAAATAATTTGGCTTGAAGCATATAACATATGAGAACAACAGCTGTGACCTCGGCCCTATGACTAACCATACCTGGGAACTTAATGAATGTTCCTGTTTACGCTTTCCTTTTTGTTGCCCACATTGTTATCTATTTTAGGTGATAGTCCAGAATCTGATGCGGGAAAATGTGAGCTTTTGTAGCTGGTTTGTCGTGTAGACCACTACTGTCCTTCAATTAGTAAGGAACTTAAATTGTATTTCTGGAGCCCACCTAGCCTCACCGTCTAGGGGCCGCACCATCCTTGCTGAGAAAAGTGCCAGACCACAAACCTCTTTCCCAAGTCGCGCTGCCTCTCCAGGCCGGGAAAGTTAGCATGGAACTCTAAATGTGTCTGGGTTTGACCTTTACTTCTGGCCAGATGGTATTTTATTTTGGGCTCTCTCTTTGCTGAAAAACACCAGTCCTGGTGCTGATCAAGGGCCCACTTGGAAGTAATTTTAAACTGCATAAATATTACTCACGATTGCCACTAAATGAGTAACTTGGTTACCACCTCTGCCAACCCAGAGACCTTGTTTAGGTTACTTAGAAGTAAGTTTTTGACCAAGCAAAGACCCAGCCAAGGAAGAGTCACTTCGGTCCCCAAATCGTCACTGAGAAGTTGCACAGTCAGCAGCTTAAATCAGTGGATCTTTCTGGGTCATAGATACCTTTGAGACGCAGAAATGAATGGTTTCTTTCCATAGAAAAATGCATAGTGATGCAGAATTTTGCCCATGACTTCAGAGAGTTCAAGGACTCCAGGTTAGGAAACGGTGAGCTAAGGTAAAATTGCATTAGAAGGAAAATGTGGGCATGGGGAAGCTTCGATGTGACTTTTCATCTTTCCTTTGGGTGACAGACCAAGCCCCGGGTGACAGATCAAGCCCTGGCAGGCTGTGTGTGCCAGCCGGAGGCCAGTGTCCTCTCTTCCCTAACCCCTGATGAAGAGGAGAGGCTGCCTTCTGAGCTGGAAGAGTGGATTTTGAGGCAGAATTCGGGGCAGGGATTTGGGGGGGCTCAGCTGACACAGGTCAGCTGTTGTTTTTCAGGTAGATTGAGGGTTGAAACCGCTCTGCCAGCCGGGTCCAAGAGGAGGGCAGGAAGTGGCGGTAACCCTCCCGTGTTTGTAAACAGGCAGCCGCGCTGGAGCTCACTCCACCTCTTCCCTCTTTCTGGGGAATGGTGGAGAGCTTGAGTTCCTGGGTCAAGACACGCAAGCGGGGCCAACACTCCTCTTTTCCCAGAGGCCCTTCCCCGAGCGTGAAGGCTGGGGTCCCTGGCATGGGAGGCAGAGAGCAGACATACCTCAGCTCCAGACAGGACACTGCTCTCCCTGTTACACACATTCGCTTCTCTCGGGTGCTGGAAGTCCATGGAACCTCTGCCCTCCTGGCGGAGATCGGTGGGCTCTCTCATCCCAGAGGAAGTTGAGGGAAAGTCTGTCATTTTCATCTTCTCCCCCTGCTGGTCACGGGCTTTTTCAGTTTACAGACTTAAAGCTGCCTTTTGTGTTGTGAGGTCAGAAGCGCTAGAAGGTTAGGATGGAGAAAAGTGGCCTAGATTCAGTAGTACCAGTAGTTCAGAGACAGGGACTGTGCCCCCTCCATTGCCAGCCTCAGCAGCTCCACCTTGACCCCAGCTGCTAGCCCTGACTGCCCCCCTGCAGACCAGAGGACACCCTGGATGTGATAGAATAAACAGAAGTAGGATATTACTCAAATTCTGAACCTCCTACCACTCTTGCCAAGAGAAGTCTTACTATCACCAGTATCCAGATATCCTGGGAAGGACTAAAACCTGGTAGCCAGTGTTGGTTAACGGCCAGTACAAGAGCCCGCACAGCTGTCTGCTGTGACAAAGATCTCCCCTGTCTCCTGCTTTCCCCTGAAGGCCTGACATGTGGAGAACTCTTTGATGTCCTTGCCCTGCAGTCTCAGTTTGTCACCCTCCCATGTGAGAGTGACTCATGTTGTGAAAGAGCAGCCCTGTGTGTGTATCTGGTGCCCAGTGATGGTTTAAAGCAAGCTGACTTTCTGCCCCAACAAGCAAGTACATTCTTGGCCCTAGCCGGCCCCTCCCAACACCGCCATGGGGCTTCAGTCATCATGGGCCTCTTGTGCCCCGGGTCAGCAAATGTTGTTATCGCAGACAACTTCCAGCGTTCCCCCCACCAACCTGAGAATGTTCCATACACCTGGATGTCCAGCTGGGTTTACTCGGGAGGGTAAAGAACATGCAGTGGGTTCTTACCTCACGGTGGTGCCTTTGGGTGGGAAGAAGAGAGTTTCTGGTTGAAAAGAGCAGAAGGAGTGACTTTTCCTTGCCTTCCCCTACAGAGTACGAAGGAGGCTGACCAGGCTAGGGCCTGGACCTGAGAGTTTTGATTCAGATCAATTGTGATTTGGAGGGGGAGGGTGCTTAGAGATGTTCTAGAATCTTGGAGTTGGGCACTCTGGTGAATAAGTAGGAAGCCAGGTCCTGCTGAGTCCCTCCCCGTTCTGCTTACTGGTGATTAGAGCCCAGCTCAGCCCTACCGAGTCTTTCTCAGTCCCCAGTCCCACAGCCCTTCCCTTGTCTTAGGTTTCTCCTCTGCCCTTGCGGGGAACTGCAGGGCACAGGATAGGAGGACTGGGACGTTGGACAGGAGTCTGGGAACTCAGACCCTCTCTGCATTCACTCCCCTTGGTCAGTGTCGGACTGCTGTTCCCACAGAAACGCAGCGTGCCCCTGACTCACTGGGTATTAGAGTGCTGATAATAGACAAAACAGTCTGGGGCAAGGGTGCAAGAATTTGGCTACATTCTTGGCCAAGTAGCATTCTGTAGGCTGATAGGGAGGCCAACTGCCACATAACATTGATGCCTTGGAAAAAGGTTTTCCAAATACAGCAACCACCAATTCACATGCACGTTTGAGTACTGTCTCTAGTCACATTTTGTCCATCACAGCCATCATAACCTCTCTAATTTCAGTATATTGCATGTCTTACACATGCAATTCAGGTGAAAGAAACATGGATGGGTTAATTCTGTCATCTTGAGGCAAAGTAGGAATTTCTAAGCATATGAGTACTCAGATTATTTTCTTTAGAGCAAATTCCGACTGATGCTATATTAGTTGGAGTCCCAGCAAGAAACAGCACACTCAAGGGGAGTAACCTGAGAGGAGAGTTGATTAAGGGGAAGATTTACAATGTGTGGGCCAGTGTAGGAAAACCAAAAGGGACAGGGCAGGACCCAGGGCTGGCAGCTCCCTGTAGGGGAGGGTTACCGCTCCCTGTAGGGGCAAAAGCAAGGAGCAATTACCAGGCCTTGGGCAGCATGGCTGTGTTGCCTGTCTGACAGGAGCGGTGGCCTTCAACAGAGGGAGGAGACAAATCCCTGACAATACTCTTCCCCATGTACCTCCCTTCTTCCCTGCCCATTGGTGTATCCCATGGGTCAAGCCCAGCCAGAAGCCAGAGGGCAGGATAGCCCATTGATGTGGTTTGCACAGACCAGTCTCTCGGGGTAGAGTGAGGAACTTGAATCCAGGGTAGGCAAAAGGAAAATGTCAAGCACTGGTTCAAGGGATGTGATTTTTTTTTTTTTTCCCAAGGATTTTAATAAATACCATGAATTTGCCTATCAGAAACGTTGGAGCAGTTAGTAGTCTAAGAGAGGTCCACTTTCCCACACTGTAGCCAACTCTAGTGACCTGATCAACATGGCTGATGCCTTCTCCTCAGTCAGGTCTCTAGCCAGACAGCACTCTTCACAGAAGCCTTCGCTGACTTCCTTGGCCAAAATAGCCACCTCCCACCCACACCCCAGCTCCCTCTATCCCACTACTTGCCTTACTTTCTCTGTAACACTAATCACTCTCTCAGGTTATTTATTTGTCTACTTCTTTATCTGTTTCCACCTCTCCAACATAAACCCCACGAGAGCAAGGACCTCGCCTGACTCATCCACAGGTCTCTCTGTAGGATGATGCCTAGTATGTTGTACGTGCTCCATAAATTTTGGTTAGATGAATGTGTCCCCAAAATCTTGACTGTCGTTCCTTCTGAGAGTATGTTGAATTCTAACATTGACCGGGTAACTAATGTCTCATTCATTGTTTACTTCTTTCCTCCAGCTCCCCTACTTTATGAATGAACTAACTCTGACGGAACTTGACATGGGGGTGGCTGTGCCAAAAATCCTTCAGGCCTTCAAGCCTTATGTTGATCACCAAGGTAACTCTTAATTGCCTCTAGCAGAGAATCGCCCATTTGTACGGGTGTTAAAATGTCTTAAAATGTCTCCATCACAGCAGATTGAATACCAAAGCTTTGTGTATAGAGGGAGTTTGGGGCCTTTTTAAGCATCTGTCTCATGTCAATTGTCTTTTGTTCTTAACAGTCACAGCTTTCAGCCGATAGGGAATAGATCCTAATTCTTCTAGTCTCTCAGATCCTTGAAGGTCCTCACCCAGCCCAAACATGCCCAGGTGCCAGTTGGTGGGGCCTGGGCATTTGTGTGATTTAGAAAATAGCCCCTGCCCTGGATGGCTGCAGCCCTTGCGAGGGTTTTCAGCCCTGCTCGCCCCCAACGTGCACCTGCCCCAGCCTTCATCCCTTACCAGGTGCCGCCATTCTTCATATGCATTCGCACCTTTGCGTTGCCCCAGCTTCTAGGTTGCAGATTCTTTGACCTTCATGTTTCGCATCTTGATGTTCCTTCCCACGCCTAGTAGGCGCTCAGTAGGTATTTGAAAAAATGAAGACGTGTTGTCAGCAATATTTTGAGAGTATCTCTCTCTGCTGGGGGAGGGTGCTCAGATTTGATTTTTAAGACATGCTCCTGACACCTTATTTACACCTACTCTTGTGAGTTGGGGCAGAAAGAACTGATTAGGATGTATAGAGTTTAAATAAAATTATGATGTAAAAGGGGCACCTGGGTGGCTTAGTCATTTGAGCGTCTGCCTCTTGATCTCGGCTTGGGCCTTGATCTCATGGTTGTGGATTTGGGCCCCATGTTGGGCTCGGCACTGGGTGTGGAGCCTACTTAAAAAAAAAAAAAAAAAATGACATAAAGACTTGTGTGTATTTTGTGTCACGTGGTTTTAAAAGAACCATGATGGAGGAGTGCCTGGGTGGCTCAGTTGGTTGAGCATCAGACTTGACTTCAGCTCAAGTCATGATCTCACGGCTCATGAGTTGGAGCTCCGCATCCAGCTCTGTGCTGACAGCTTAGAGCCTGGAGCCTGCTTCACATTCTGTGTTTCCCTCGCTCTCTGCCCCTCCCCCACTTGCACTCTATCTTTCTTACTCAAAAATAAATAAACATTAAAAAAAATAAAAGTTTAAAAAATTAAAAAAAAATAAAAGAACCGTGATGGAAAATTTAGTACACAGGAATGGGGGGAAATCAGAGGCGCAAGCCAGGTAGGCGAGAATAGTCCATGAACAGGCCGGGAAAATCTCTCCATCATGGAAGTGTTCGACTTCTTTTATGTAGTATTCCTTTCCAGATGCACCTCTTTCCACCTAAACCAGATTGACATTATTCCTCAAAGGCACAGGAACAAGGTGGAGAGAAAATAATTACAACTTTCCGAGGGTGATATCTGTTTTGAAGTAAATGTTTGGTAAATTTATAGCATCTATTTTTGTCTCTCTATAGCTGTATCAGATGGCTCTTGAATAGTTTAATGAAATCATTTTCAGTGTTGTATACATTTGATGTGAATACAAAGAGATTTTTTTCTAGCCCTACAATTATTGCAGCTCTGATGATCTCTTTAGCAATATTTCAGCCTACAGTGAGCCCATATTTCCATGCTTTTAGTATTACATGGATTTCAGAGATAGACCAGAGTGTTATTTACAAGTCCAAAAGTCCACCTAATACCTGCATGTTAAGATCACCTGTAACCCCTTGATCATGTCTACACTTTGGTAAATCTGAGTGTTCCTGGGTTTGGTTAATTTATGGTTCACAAAGGGTAATTCTAGAAAAGATAATTTGCAAACAACGGTTTACTAGAGTTCTTTTAACTACATGTGAAAATTTTAAAGGTACATTATTTATATGTTGAGCACCTAGCTAGGATCTCCACCTCATCGGCGTATGAGGGCTGCCTGCCTGTCTTCCTCTGGCTCTGGTGGGCTCTGGGCTCCCCTTTGCTCTTGGCTTTGTGAGGAATTGACTAGTAACAGGCTGGTAAATGATCAGCTAACATACACCTCAGGCTTAAAGAAAGTAAATAATACGTGTACGTGCTGTATTTCCTAATGTGTTAGCAGTCTGTTATCTCTGTCCTTTGTTGAATTAATAGAAATTTCCACCAAGAAAGAAGCAGGGCCACAGCTGGGCTTTGCTGTATCTAAGGAGTGTCCCCGTAGCTTTGAACTCTGCTGCTTCCCAGGGCAGCTTGGTCAGGCTTTGAGTGAAATTCACCAAATGCCTAAGCCTCTTTCCTCTTCCTCTGGAGCAAGACATTTCACTACCCAGATCAAAGCTTTGCCAGTTTTTAATCCATTCGAGGCTCACTTAACTCCTTTCAGGGCAAGCTTTAGACATCTGCCTGCTTATGTAATAAGGAAGGAAATGTTATGAAAGAAAGGAATGATAAAAGACATAAAGCCTGTGGGTTTTAAAAGTTTGATCAAATTAGGTTTTCCCAAGTCTGCAAAAGATGCTTGTGATGGTACAACAGACATAAACATAAAGGAAATGTGCTGTTTTGGATTCCATTGCTCTAAGGGAAACTTTACTTTGAAGGAAATGAAAATCAAGAATGACTGGCTAAAATGGACTCTGGAAAGCAGAGCTCACCTTCCGGGGAAATACAAGCCCAATGAAGAAGGCTTCCACAGCCCTAAAGATGGGGCACCTTCTGGGGGAATCCCCACACACCCTTTTTTTCCCCTTTTTTTCCCCTTTTTTGTTTCCTAACTTACTTGTTGGAGACAATGGCTGGGGGGTCGGGGTGCAGATGGCTCGGGCCAAGGCTGACTGGATCACTCTGTCCTCAGGATGAGCAATGAACGGTGGTTCTGAGCACAGCTCTGGGGCCGGGCTTTGGGATTCACAGCTCCTTGTCCTTGAGCAGTTTCCGTAAACCTCGCTAACCCCTCTCTGAAGTGGGGAGACTGTGACTTGATGGGCTAGGCTGGTCTAGCACTCAGTGAGTTAGTGCATGGAAGGCACCTGGAAGGCGTGATGCCAAGGGAGCGCGGTAAGTGCAGGCTATTATTTTTACCATTGATAGTGGTGCCTTCGCTGCTGCTGCTCTGGGAGAGTTTAGAGTATGGGTGGCTATGGTGCCCAGTTGACCCATTTTACAGGAATAAACGGAAAGGAAAAGGCCATCCTCGGCTGTCGTGGCCTTGCCACTAAAAGGAGCAACGTCTGTAGTTCCTCCGAATGAAATCACGTGTCGGCCACCGTCGGCCTGTCTGAGTCCCAGGACACACAGCCAGTTTCTCAGGTTGAATGACCACCTTCCCCAGGGGCGTCTTCGCTCCCCATCATTGCAGGTGGCTGGAAGAGGGGAAGACTTGTCCCTTGGAAACTGGCTGTGCACCTGCTGCTTCATCTCTGACCCCTGCACACTCCACACGCACCTCTGACTGAGGGCCACGCGTGGGTCTCCTTTCTTCCTTCAGGCCGCATGGCAGTCAGATGCCCTGGAGGGTCAGAGCAGCACCTGCAGGCATGTCAGTCAATGTCAGGACGAACCGAGGATGTGGGCTCTGACCCCTCAGGCTCACAAATGCATTTGGTCTTCAGGACTTTGGCTGCATGTATTTAAACCTACAAATAGGCACTGAGCGTCCACCACAGACAGAGTGCCATCTATTTCAAGATTCCCAAATAACAGCCCAAGCTTTGACAGAAGGTGTTGGATTCTGTGGCAAGAGTACCGTGTCCCACAGGAACAGAAAACTTGTCTGTTTTCAGAAATGCCTTTGGTCATGACCGGTGGTATCTGCCATCTACGACTTGCCTTCCGGACCTTGACCTTTAGTGCCTGGTGCCTTTATCAGGTGCTGGGACTGAAGTTACTTTGCCACTGAGTATTGCAGAAAACTGGAACCAGAGCCGGTCTGTGACCTGCCCATTCCTTCCACTACGCCCTTGTTAAGAACCTAGAGGAGAGGGGCGCCTGGGTGGCTCAGTCAGTGGGCAGGCTGTGAGATGCTCAGATCTAGCGTCGTGGAGTTGAGCGTATGCTCAGAGCCTGGAGCCTCATTTCCTGTCCTACTCTACTTTCCTGTTAGGCCCTTCCATCTACCATGGCTGTTCAGCGTTTAAAAAAAAAAAAAGAACCAGAGGAGGGAAGCCTGGTGGGCTCAAACCAGTTAGCGATCAGGCTGATTTCAGCTCAGATTAGTGTTCTCGATTTGGAGTTCAGAAACCCCTCATTGGGCCCAGTGGTACAGGAGCCTGCTTGAATTCCTCCCCCACCCCCGCCTTTCTCTCTGCCACTTCCCCGCACGCACTCGTGCACACTCTCACTCTCTCAAAATAAATTAAGAAGAAGAAGAAGAAGATATAGGAAAACAGCAGCCCAGAGTTGAGCACAGTGACAGGTCCAGACTGTGGGGCTCAGCACTGACAGGAATGGGCCCACACTTTCTGACCGGATCATGCTGCAGAAAGAAAAATTACTTTTTTGTGGAAAGGGAGAAAAATACCATTTTGTGGAATTTGGTTGGGATGGAAGAGAGGAGACTGATTCGATCAATCTTGAGAGGCGGAGCAGTTTCCAAGAACAATTACAGGTAGACAGAGCAGCATCAGTCCTAAAAGACACACCCAGATACAAGGAATGCTGGTTTTCTGTGGTATTTGAGTGAGCAGTATGGCATCAGGAACAAGACAGTCCCTGGTGTGCTTTTCTCAGATTCTGTAACTCCAACGTCTGTTCTTAGTAATATATTATTAAATGTTCCATTTTAAGAAGTTTGTTCTTTGGATGCCAAATGTTGATTCTCAAAGTGGAAACCAACCAGTAACAGTTAAAATCAGCAGGAAACAGAGGAGCAGATGACACAAGGGCCAAGTTCAGGTGAGCGCGGCTTTCAGTTCTTCTAACCCCGCCGAAGGAACGGGTGCCCTGTTGAACCTACTCCAGTGAGACTGATGCCTTTTAGTTACTTTAACAGTGGCGAAACCGTGAGCTGCCGAGAGAAATTACTAGATTTATGTGGCCCCAGTGAGACTGTTCCTGTGTCCATGGCGTCTGTCAAATAGAATACCAGGAGAAGGCCAAAGGACCTGTATTCTAGTTGTCTCTGGTGACACTGAGGCGTGCCAGTCTGCACCAGGTGGCCTTAGGCCGTCTTTATCTGTCTTCAGGCAGAAGGTGCCTGAGGGCAGGGGTTCATCTCAGTGGCTTCAGCTCTGACATCTTGCACTGAGAACTCAAGGAACATTTTCGGTGGAGCAGGCTGTGACCTTTGCCGCAATCTCCTTCTGAGCAGTGGCAATGGTGACTGATCCTTCCCTCATGAAGCTGGAGAGCGGAAAAACAGCCATCGGAGCTCCTCACAGGTGCTGGCATGAAAACCGACTGAAGTCGTCATTGTCCGTTTTGTTCCCCATGTTGCCACATCACGTGCCAATGGTACAGGGACTTGTTAGTCATCAGCTACTACTCTTCACATGAGGACCGCTTATGTAGGGGAGATGTGTTACAGACTGAATGTTTGTGTCCCCTGTCCCATCCCCCCTCCAAATTCAAATGTTGAAGCCCTAACCTGCAATGTACTGACATTTGGAGGTGGCGCTTTGGGGAGGTGACCAGGTTTAGATGAGGTCCTGAGGGGGAAGGGTCCTCATGATGGCATCAGTGCCTTTATGAGAAGAGACCAGCCAGCTAGCTTGCTGTCTCTGTCTGCTGTGTGAGGTCACACAGTGAGAAGGTGGCCTTCTGTGAGCCAGGAAGAGAGCTCTCACTGGGAACTCACTAGGAACTGAATTGACCAGCACCTTGATCTTGGACTTCCAGCCTCCAGAACGGTGAGAAATAAATATCTGTCGTTAAGCCAACCCAGTTTATGGCCATTTGTTATAGTGGCCCAAGCAGGCTAATAGGAGACCCTTTGTTTTCATGGCCTTTCTGGAGAACCTCTCTGTACACTGATTGCCATACTCCTGTTTAAAGGCTTCAAAATTGTCTGGCTCAACGTTTGGTTTTTGTCCTCGAGTGCTAGAGCAGGCGGTTATAGAGAGCAGCATTTTATTTTATCATATTATTTTTTTCAATATATGAAATTTATTGTCAGATTGGTTTCCATACAACACCCAGTGCTCATCCCAACAGGTGCCCTCCTCAATGCCCATCACCCACCCTCCCCTCCCTCCCACCCCCCATCAACCCTCAGTTTGTTCTCAGTTTTTTTTTTCAACTTTTTTTTTTTTTTTAATTTATTTTTGGGACAGAGAGAGACAGAGCATGAACGGGAGAGGGGCAGAGAGAGAGGGAGACACAGAATCGGAAACAGGCTCCAGGCTCCGAGCCATCAGCCCAGAGCCTGACACGGGGCTCGAACTCACGGACCACGAGATCGTTACCTGGCTGAAGTCGGACGCTTAACCTACTGCGCCACCCAGGCGCCCCTGTTCTCAGTTTTTAAGAGTCTCTTATGCTTTGGTAGAGAGGAGCATTTTAAATGAAATGCCTCGCGAAAGGGTCTTAACGTTTGTCCAGAGCACAAAAGAAAGAGCTCTCTGCACCTACATTCATCCGGGCTAACCGTGTTCAGCTTGGTGCGCATTGAGACCCCGGTCACAGAGCAGGGCGTGTTCCCATCCTTACATTGTTGACGCAGATTGTCTGCACCGAGAAGACAGCCTTTCTAGTAACTGTTCATTTCATCTTTCACTCATACTGGCAGAGCATCCTGACTCACCCATTATGTAACCGTGTGGTCTCAGCCCCAGGTTGTGTGAGCTCCAGGCTTTTCAAGATGCTTTTTGGCTTGCTGAATCATTGTCACAGAAGAAGATTTTTCTTTGCACCTAATGCTAAAATAGTCTTCCCCTCATCTAAATGCAAGCATGTCATATTAAAGTAATCTGTTGGAATGGCTGCAGTTTATATCTGGTTTTAAAAGTTCTCAGGCCAGTCTTGACTCCTTCATATTCTCCCTGAGAACCAGGGCTGAACATGGCCCTGTGGGTGGGCCTATTGGGGCATACACAGTGATACGAAAACAGACCCTGCTCCTCAGGCAGAGGCTCCATCAGATAGATGTCCATGCTTCGTGCTCTCCCCAGCCCAGACAGGACTCTCTGCCTACCTAGTGCCCCATTGGCCCCGTGGCTTTCTCTGGGCTGGTCCCCGTCTGCCATGGCAACAGCGGGAACCTAGGCTGGAGCAAAGAGTCAGGGAAGTAGCAAAGTGGGCTGGCGACAGCAGAGAGGGGGAAGAGCCCCAGCTGGGATGGACATAGCCCTCCCCTGAAGAGGCAGCGCAGCCCCCTTGTGCACATTAGGAAGCCCGTAAACCGAGGTCTAGAAAGTTCCAGTGGAACTCAAGCCCCAGTCCACATGCCAGGGCTCCATGTGTGCCTTCCCTCTGCCTTCCCCACCCCAGCTCCTAGCAGAGGGGGCTCTGGGCCACACATCACTGGGCTGAATGTCCCAGTTATTGGGGCATAAGCCAGCAGTGCACTAAGCTATAGTCACACCTCCTCATTTAAAGAAACAAACAAAACCTACTTTATAAGAAGTAAAATTGTGATGCCTTTAACATGACCATCTTCAGAGGCACTATATACTATTAATATTTATTGGAAGCCTGACCAGGGTTTTCAAAAGAAGTTATTTCTGAATATATACAGCAGCCAGGTAGTTTGACTCCTATCGATTCTCAAGTTAAAAAAAAAAAGTGGAGGTATTATACAGCGATAAATATCTTCTTTATTGATATTCTATCTATATTGAGTTGAAAACCTATTAATATCTAGCCTTTTGCCCTATTCCCTTCTCCTGGAAGTGATTCTTCCAGGACTCAATGTCTTTATATAAGCAGACATACCCTTTGTTTCCAGTAACAGTACCTTTGAAGAGCAAGCTAATTGATGATTTTTAACTGCTTAACATAAGCAAGAAATAATGCAGTTTTGTGAGTTGCGACAAACAAGACAGTCACAGTTGATCTGCATATCACTTAATGTCATTCATGGAAAATAATTACCTCCAATTATGATGAAAAGAATTTGTTGAAAACAAAATGGAAATTATTCTGCCTTTAGTGAAGAATTATACCATTAGTGCTTCTTGAGGTTAAGCAAAGCTTTTATCTGAAATGGTGGCCAAATAGGGGATAAGTTATTTACTGTAATTGCTTGAAAACGCTGCTGTGTGTGAACAATGGTTTTAGATTAGTTTCCTGCTTCCTTTCAGATGTTGTCATGTGTCTAATGAGGATCTATAAAGTTTATTAACATTTAAACACCCACATGAAGGATCACATTTTGATTGAAAGTCCATGAAGTGTTACAGAATCCTGAGCTGAAAAATCACAGCCTGGCATGTTCTATTGCCAAATCACAGAATCCTGGTGTAGAAGGTCATGAGATGATCCCTGTTTGCATTTTAGACTTCTGGTCAATGACCACTTCTGTTGGTAGGCCATCCCAGTGACATTCCACAAAACTTAGATATGATCTCATTGACACTGGTATTTTAAACCAGGGTACAAAGTGGTTACCCCACTTTATCTGGATAATTCTGGGGCTTGAACATTAATTATTTTATTTCCATTACTAGGCAATTTCCAGAGAGAAAAAGGTGCTAAAAGTTTTTGTCCCTTTCTTTATCATACTGAGCTCAATCTGGAGCATTTTCTGTGCTCCACTGTCCCACCAACATGAGATAATTTCAAGACAGTGGTTCTCACCTGTGTCTTTAAAGAATAGCCCAGCTTTGGGGTGCCTGGGTGGCTCAGTCGACTAAGTGTCCAACTTCGGCTCAGGTCATGATCTCACAGTTCATGGGTTCGAGCCCCGTGTTGGGCTTTTTGCTGACAGCTCAGAGCCTAGAGCCTGCTTTGAATTCTCTCTCTCTCTCTCTCTCTCTCTCTCTCTCTCTCTCTCTCAAAAATAAATAAACATGAAAAAAAAAAAAAAAAGAATAGCCCCTCTCTTCTGCCTCATAACTGGCTGGGAATCAGCAGACTTTCTCCTGGCTTTGCCCTGGGTCAAGCCATCTCCTGTTGGGAGTGTATTTTCTTACTAAATGTGAGAAGAACCCAGAGGACTGGATCCTTCCAATGCTGACAGGTTCGCTAAGCTCACTGTGACCGTTGTAATGGATATTCACATGTTGGCAAGCTGACAAACGCTTGAACCATTTCCAGGAGCTTTTCTTTGTGTGACCTCCCCTTGCATGCAGTGTAGTACAGGCGATACAAATCTATAGACTTTCAATGTGATATAAATTTTTTTTAACTTTTTTTAATGTTTTATTTATTTTTGAGACAGAGAGAGACAGAGCATGAGCCAGGGGAGGGGCAGAGAGAGAGGGAGACACAGAATCCAAAGCAGGCTCCAGGCTCTGAGCTGTCAGCACAGAGCCTGATGCAGGGCTCGAACTCATGGACCGTGAGATCATGACCTGAGCCGAAGTTGGATGCTTAACCGACTGAGCCACCCAGGCGCCCCATCAATGTGATATAAATTTTTATACTGTCATTGATAGTCCTGTTTTCCTGGGGGAAAAAAAACCTTCTGTTTTTTGCCCTTTCTGCAGGACTCTGGATCGATTTGGGAATGTCCTACAATGGGTCCTTTCTGATGACTCTTGAGACCAAAATGAATTTGACCAAACTGGGGAAAGAGCCTCTTGTTGAAGCCCTGAAGGTTGGAGAAATTGGCAAAGAAGGGTAAGGGGCCATATGGATTTACTAATCCAACCCTGGGGAACCAACCTCTCCCTCTAGCATTTGAGAAGCAGCTTTGATGTGTAGTGGCCTCAGATGTTGGGTGAGCTTCCACGAGATTGCTTTTGGACCACAGAGGATTTTAGGGAATGGTTCCTTAGTTTCGTCCCCCAAAAGCCGTGAGTCCCCACCTCTGCTCAGCACCTTTTGGCCTCAGTGCTGCCATTGGGGGCACAGCATCGATTATCCAGAAAGCATCACTGACTCAGACCGGCGGGGCAGGTTCATCTGCACAATAAAATGTTCTGTGAAGGGAATCGTTCGGAAACGTCCTCCTTCCACCCACAAACAGCAATGTGTGGGCGATGCGAAGGTCCCTGGGGGGTCTATCTGCTGTAATCACAAAGTCAGAATTATTTATAATAAGATAATTGATTTTGTAGCCAAGAGGGTGCTCCTAAAGTGTTTTGAGATGTATTTTCCCTAAATAATACGACATTGATTTGCTTAGTAGTAAATTCCTCTCTTTGTAGAAGACGCTGCATCTGCTGCCCAGTTTGTCTGATTGAGTAAATATTTCAAATCTGTGCGATAGTTAATGAAGGTTGATTTATTTTTTCCTTAGATGCCTAGAATGGATAAGCTAGAACTTATACATTTCCATACCCCTTAAAAATGACTGCTTCTGACTGAAAATGTAAATTTGATTATTGTTTTTACCAAACTAAAAATGCTAAGTGGAGTCTATTTCTCATCTCTTTACACCTTTGGTGTGGAATTGACAGTACAATGACAGGAAAACCCCACAAGGACCCACCTTGTCAGGGTCTGAATATGAGACACAGACTCTTAGATTTTTGTTCAGTTATGATGCTGACCTAATGATTGTATTCATACATGTGGTAACAGTAGATGGGGGGGGGGTCTTGCATTTGAGAATGTGCTTTTACTTACTCTGATTTATCCAGGTTACTTAATGAAATGTTCCTATTTTAATGATTGGAAAGTTTCCCCTGCCGTATGCAATCTAACCTGTATCTGTGCTATTTTCCTTTCATTTTTCTGCTATTTGTTAAAATGTATTTGGATTCGGCAATCTGTGGATTGTATTTTCTGGTGAGTGGTGTTTATTAACTCTCCATGTAGCATTTCATGCCCTGTAGGTGCTGAGTCTTGTTTGGTCTCGTGTGACACCACTAGGAAGCTTGTCCTTAACATGTTCCTGGACGTAGAGGCTCAGTTTATAGACCTGAGAGGATTGAGGTCAGGGTATTTAAGAGGCTTTCCTGGGAGGGAAAATCTTGCCAACTTCCCTGATTTGAGTTGCTGGGCGTTTGATCCAATCAGACTCAACTTCCTGTGCCTGGATGCCCCCACCCCACTGCCCTGCACAGCTGCACTATCAGCCATCCAGCTTATGAGATGAAGCAGACTCTGGGCAGAAGCAACCTTGAAAATGAGGTCTAACTACACAGGAGCAGGACAGAGCAAACTTCAGTCAGAACCTTGTGGAAGGAGACTGTTCTGGAAACAGCCCTGTGCCCAGCACAGAGCTGCTGGGACTCCAATAGAAAGGGAGGTCTTGGGCAGCAGATGAGACCCCAATACATCCAAGTCCCTGAGATCCTGGCCACTTAGGTATTCCATGAATGCTGTTACTCACGTGGCTCTCTTGGCACAATCTCAAGTTCATAAGCCCTGGCTGAACAGGTGGACCTGTTTCTGAGTAAGCAGTGTTTCACTAGACTGCATGAAAAATCTCCTCTGCTCTGGGAATACGATGGTATTTGTCTGTAATATACTTAGAAAGTACCTTTTTTTTTTCCTAGTAGAGACTGGGATAAATGTTTTGCTTCTTCCTGTGAGGGTGTTAAATATGCTGACGTGTAATGGGCTGTCATTTAATTTTAAAGGCAAGGAAAACACACATTCCCAAAAGTGCTTCATTTGGGAGAAAAAGGCCTGGAAAAATGGACCTTTAGCCTTTTCTTTTTTACATAAAGGACCCCTTTTGGGGAATCTGAGAGCTCTGGATCCTTCTCCCTGAAAATGCCCACTCCATCTGGCTCACAATTTCTGAGCGCACTGAGAGCCTCTGAAAGCCCGTCCATAACTAAGAACCTAATCCCACGAGTGATTCTAGAGTCCACTTCTTCACTTCCTCAGTCATGAGCATATTGGAATCACCCTGAGTCTAAATACCGAGGAGAGATGGACATCAGTGTATGTGGTAGCTACTGTTGAGCATGCGATCTTTGGTACCGACGTTTCCCTCCACAGTAAATCTCGCCAGAGATTAGGCTCTGGCGGGGCCTCTGCTTTGTTTCACCGCCTTCTTCGGTCCCCCTTCAAGTGTGCAAGTGATTGTGCCCCCGGGGGAGTCTCTAGAAGATGCTGCTCAACCTGTGGGAAGTCCTCCCTACTGGTAGAACGTTTGTTCATGTCCTCACATTATTACCCTGAGGATGACAGTGAGAAATTGAAATCTGTGTGGCTTTATTCTAGTGAAGCCCTTTCTCTTTGAAATATGTGTATACTTTATATTTTTAGGCATTTTTCCTTCAGTCTTGATTTCCCAAATAGCCATCCTGTGGCACACTGTCATTAACATAACTCTGGGCAATAATGTGCTCAAAGTGGAATTCAGGTAGCTAGCTGAGTGGCCATAACTGTATTCGACCTGAAGAGGCCCAGAGCGAGTCAGTAAGGGAAACATCCTACATGTTGGCCGCTGTCTAACGGAACCGTGGCTTTGGAGTAGGGCATGTCCTGTAAGGCGCTCAACCTGTTCGTGCGTTACCCTTGCAGCCTGGGTCCGGTGTGCAAGTCCCCATAGGGAGGCCCCTGTGACCTCCATATTGGGTCACTAGTCCACAGCGTAGCCCGGACCACCACCACCCCGAAGCCCCTGTGTTTTGGGAGCCGAGTGCCTGCAGCCCACACTGTGACTCGGTCTAGCTGGGAGGGTGTGTGCACGCGTGTGTCTGTGGCAGATGCATGGTGCTGATTTCACTTAGAGAAAGTGAACACGTTCTCCCGTGTGTGGCCACCTCACTGGGCTGCTTAATGTAACTATGCAGCCTTCACTTAAAGCATTCTTTGGAAGCTGCCTTTTAGGACTGCCTCCAGAGCCTGTGACATTCTTTTAACTGTTCTGAGTATCAGCGAATCATCCTGCTTTGTAGATGGATTGGATCTTAGAGAAATTGCTAGAAGTTGTTCAGGGGTGATGGTGATCTTGAGACCAAGAAATAAGATGTTTGGTCCAAGATAGAGTATCAGTGATAAAATAATTCATTTTTTCTTATGTGTCTGGCTCCAAGCACGTATCCAAAGATTTTTAGCAGAGGCAGCAAAACTAGAATTAGCCCTTTAAGGCGGCTCTTTGAAAGGATGTCATACTCATCTGGATTCTAAGGTGTGTTTTAAAAAAACCTAGGCTTATTAACGTTCCAGCACATCTTATTTTTTTTTTCAATGTTTATTTTTGAGAGAGACCGAGCATGAGTGGGGGAGGGGCAGAGAACCCAAAGCAGGCTCCAGGCCCAGAGATGTCAGCACAGAGCCTGACACGGGGCTCGAACCCACGGACTGCGAGATCGTGACCTGAGCTGAAGCCAAACACTGAACCGACTGAGCCACCCAGGTGCCCCCCCAGCACATCTTATATAAGGATGTGCAGTGTATCTTTCTCTGAAGTTCATGCTGACATCACGAGATCATAAAATTCATGTTGAGTTATAAAACTAAATATGAGCCAAACAGTTACATGTTTAGTTAGTAAGGATTGGGTGCCACATTGGGGTAACCGTTTGGTCAAAATCAGAATTTTATGTCATCTGATCCACTTGCACTGATATGGCACTGTCTAAATTATTAACTTCAAGCCGCAAAATTTATCCTGTGCTCTGTCCTGCGGAGGATTAATTTGGGAACCCGAGAGCTCTCTGCAGTGCTCAGCCTTTGGCATCTTTTGCCTCAGGGCTGGAGGCTGCCAGATGACAAATACCAGTGGGGAACAGGAGGGGCTGGTGGCTCAGCAGGTTTCGCTGCGGTCACAGATCCTGAGGCAGCTTTTTGTGCTGCGTGGAGGGGGAGCAGGCTACCTGCGCTGGCGGGACACAGACCCCTTGTCTGAGGGCACATCTAGAGCCAGGAAGCAGTCCTCGTACCGATGGCCAAGTGAGATGGGTTTCTCAGATGGTTGTGTTATCTTGGGGACTTGCCTCCCTGACTTTCCGCATCTCAAGACCCAATTTATAGGCTTTCTTGGGACTAATATTTTGCTGCGCACATTTTATATAAAAGAAGATCTCTGTGAGACTGCCTAACCAGGGAAAGCTCTGAAATGGCTTTGCGACCAGTGAACACCCATAGCATTTCCCGGACTAGCCAGGACTCTAACGGAAGGAGGAAGAAAGAGTCAGTTAGGTATTGTCTCCATGGTCAGGGACAAGAGGCTTTTGTACGTGCACGGGGAGTTTCCCTTTAACTGTACGCAAGCCTGTTGGTGGAACGGCTGGCTCTTATGTTTCAGAGCCGGGGTCGGGGAGGATCCGGGTGTCCTGCCAGGGAGGACACTTGTGAGGTCCTCTTACAGTCAGGCTCTTGTTTCACAGGGTGGAGATTTCAGCTCCACCATTCTAGCTGGGGCCTCTGCTGGGCCTTCAAGTCTGCACGAGCGTGTGTGCTCTGCCCTTGGGTGCCCTTGGCCACTTTTGGCCAGGAGATGACTGCCCCCTGTGAGCATCGGAGGGAAACCCCGTAGGGATCACACCTGTAGGGATTGGACCTAAGCTCTGCTGCCTTCCCAGTAATTTTGTCCTTATCAGAAATGCAAGGCTCTGCTTTGTGACCATTTGGTTGCTTAGTAGTGTTCAGAGACTACTCTGTCCCTCGTTGGCTTCATCCCAATCAAGTCTCCGAGCCTCAGAGGTGGGCCCTACCTGTCTACCTCTCTGAAGCAAAGCCGCCATCCAGGGAGGGAGCTGCCTTTTGTGGGGCCGAATCCCGGCCAAGAACCCCCCCCAGTGCCATTAGAGTGGCCCTCGCCACTGCTGGTGATCTAGTAACCCCCATGCCTCTGGAAACTGAGTATCCCTGGAAAGATTAATGGGGAACGTTGCTCACTGACGAGGCTTTGTATCACTTTCTTTTTTTAAATGGTTTTTAAATTTGTATTTCTCTGGGCAACTTCCTAGGCTCTCCTGTCGGTTGTTTCCTAGAGTCCCTTGAGGTTTGTCCCTTGCGATTGTTGGCTTTTTCTGTGGCCTTTAGGAGCTAGAGCAGGTATGGGATAAGACACATAATTTCACTAGGAAGGAGTCTTGAGTCAAAACTAATCCGGAGGTAACTAAGGCAGAAAGCATCAGAGTCACTGAACTCAGGCAGAGCCCAGGGACTTGCCTAAACATCCCCGTCATCCCGTCATGTGTGAGAGGAGGTTATGTCGCCAGCATCAGCTGTCACCTCACCCTTGCAACCATCGTGCTTTCCATCCATCCCCCCGCCCCCTGCCCCGCCACTTGGCTACTGCTGCACTGTCGATGAGATCACTGCATTTTGTGTGGACGCATCACACTCCCACCACCTGTCCGGACGCATGCACAGAATGGAACTCTTGGGCCCCAAGTCCTGTGCTGCTCTCAGGGCACTTGGCACTGAAGAGTCTCCGGGTAACCTGACCAACCCGAGGGCTCTTGGATCCAGCCTCTTCTTTTCTGGGTGGGTTGGGAGAATGAGGACATGTTAGCGGTGATGGCGGTGGAGCATGTGTGTTCTCTTTCTAAGCAGAGCCTGAAGGGCAGGCTACGGTGGTGACTCTGCCCTGATCAGTTGCAGGCCCAGGGCGTACTGTCTGGCGGACAGTGATGAGGAGTCCTCCAGTGCTGGCTCCTCTGATGAAGACGACGCTCCAGAGCCCAGCGCGGGAGACAAACCGCTCCTCCCAGGGGCTGAAGGGTGAGTGGATCCAGCTTCCAGGGCTCCAGGGCTCAGGGCACCAACTTGGGTGTCCTATATAATCTTTCTTCTTCCTCCGTATTGAGTGAGTGACTTTTACATTAAGAACCCAGAGTCAGTGCTTAAAACTCCAGCCCCCACAGCAGAAAGACCCAAGAATTCTTTCCATAGCTAAGAAGATCCCCATCAAAATGGCTTTCTTGGGCCAGTGAAGAAAATTATTAATAGAGCATTGAAAGGCGTGTTTAGTGCAAGGAGCTTACACAACATCTCCCCCTAGTGCCCGATGGAGAGCATCGCTGCCCTCAGTTGGGTCACACTTTCTCATTGGGCTGCCGGTTCCTACGAGGCTGGAACATTCGGGTGATTTCTTTGGTGAATTTTGAAGACGTGGGCTGCTTAGCTGATCTTTTGGGTGATGGACTTCATTTTCGGGGCTCCCTTTGTCTGTAACTCGGACTGTGGAATAATAAGAATGCTTAAACAGCTTCTCTGTAAGGATCTTTTAATTATTCGAAGTGAGTTGAAGCAACTAAGATTATAAAGAAACCAGAGATTCAGAAGCATTTGTAAGAAAATATCAACCTGTTCACTTTTGAGATCCTACAGAAGATGGAGAGAATCCAGACGTTGGAAGGGTCGATACTAACACTTGGGTTCATTATTTAAAATCTACCCTCTTGACCTTAAGAATGACTGCTTTTCCCTACACATATACACATACTCTTCCTGGCACTCTGGAACTCCAGAGGATTTTAAAAAGCAAATACCCTCTTTCCTTAGGGCAATCTTATGGTTGATAGGACCTGGTACAAAAGCTTGCTTCGTGGCCTTCTAGCATGCCACCTGAGGTAACATTTTTCTTTAGAAAAAAGTTCTAAGCCCTTTGAAAAGTAGTTGCCACTGAAAGTTGGTATGCCATCACCTAAAAGACAATCAGTTAATGGCTGTGTTTTATGTCCCTGTCAGATGCAGCATGATTTCCTATTTGCTGTGTAGACATGGGGAAGTTTCTCTAGGAGAACTCAGGATTTATGTTCAGTAGTTGAGGGCTGTTAAGGAGGACAGGTGGGATGCCTTCTCTGCACTGTGAGAACTTTGTCTCTCCATTGGTCAAGACTTGGGTCCTGTCTGATGTCTACACCTTCCCTAATGTAGTGGTTTCTCCACTGGAGGTTGTTTTGCCCACGAGGGGACATTTAGCGATGTCTGGAGGCAATTTTTATTATCATGACTGGGGGAAACATGCTGCTGGCACCTAGAAGGCTCAGACCAGGGTGCTGCTAAACATTGTACGGTGCATAGGACAGCCCCCACCACAAAGAATTACCTAGTCCAAAATGTCAGTAGTGCTTCGGTTTGGAAACTCTGGTCTAGAGTAAGGTGAACGAAGAACCACAGAGGTTTTGTGTATGAAGTATACTAACATCTGTGTCCTTCATTTAAAGGTACGTTGGGGGTCATCGAACAAGCAAGATTATGAGGTTTGTTGATAAAATTACCAAGTCAAAATATTTCCAAAAAGCAACAGAGACAGAGTTCATTAAAAAGAAGATTGAAGAAGTCTCCAATACCCCCCTGCTGCTCACTGTGGAAGTGCAAGAATGTAGAGGAACCCTGGCGGTCAACATTCCACCTCCCCCGACTGACCGAATATGGTGCGTACAACCTGTTGCGTGGCCGTAAAAATCCAGCCTGCGTACCCTTGACATTGTGGAAAGTGCCCTCTGGGCAGAAGCACTTACACACGTTTTTCATGGGACCTTAATGTTTGTCACAAATCCAATTCTACTTTCTTCTATGAACGGTTCATTCACATTTAAAGCTTCATCTTCACATGTTTCTATTCTCGGTCTTCCTCCTCTCTAAAGCCAGTTCTTTCCACCAGCTAGAAGAGCTGCCGTCTGTAGAGCTCTTACTCTCTGCCTGGCCTGAGTGCCTCACAACATCCTGCAGAGATAGGTACCACTGTTATCCCTGCTTTACAGAGGGGGATCACGCATTCCGCAGAGGCTGAGGTGCTTAGGGAAGGCTCCCTGGGTTAGAGCGAGGTGTTAAGGAGTCAGAACCTATGCACTTGGTTACTGTGGGAGGAGGTCTATCTGAGGAGTTGTCATCGAATGAACTAGTGGCCCTCAAATCAAACTGCACATCACAGTCACCTAGAGACTTGTTAAAAACGGAGATGCACCCAGCCCCCAGGATCCATAGCATGGAGAACTAAGCCAGCATTGAGAACCGGTGAAATGTCCTATTCATGGATCCAGCAGAAGAACATCACTATCTGTGAACTGCAGTTTAAAATTGACATTCTAGGGGCGCCTAGGTGGCTCAGTCGCTTGAGCCTCTGACTTTGGCTCAGGTCATGATCTCGCAGTTCTCGAGTTTGAGACCCGCGTTGGGCTCTGTGCTGACAGCTCAGAGCCTGGAGCCCACTTTGGATTCTGTGTCTTCCTCTCTCTGTGCTCCTGCCCTGCTCACACTCTGTCTGTCTCTCAAAAATAAATAAACATTTAAAAAATTTTTTAAAGATTTATCAGAAAATTTTTTCAATTGACCATTTGATGAGGATGCTGGTATTTCCCAGTAAAAACTTTAAAATACCTTTTTAGGTTTTATTTTTAAATAACTTTTTAAGTGTATTTCTTTATTTTGACACAGAGAGAGCACACCCATGAGCAGGGGAGGGGCAGAGACAGGAGAGAGAGAATCCCAAGCAGCCTCCGCACTCCGTGCATGAGCCCAATACAGGGCTCGATCTCACTACCATGAGATCATGACCTGAGCCAAAATCAAGAGTTGGATGCTTAACTGACTGAGCCGCCCAGGCACCCCTAGATTTTATTTCTAGAGAGTACTATTTCATTGTAAATAAAAAAAAAGGAACAAATGAAAAAAAAAAAAAAAAAAAAAAAAAAAAAAAGAGAGGGGTAAAAAAGCCTATAATCTCATCATCCCAAAATAACCACTGTTAATATCTTACTGTACAGTCTTCCAAACCTAAGAAAAAAATTTTTTTAATAGTAAGAGTTGATACAACATACCTTCACTTACGTAATTTCATGCTTTAAGATGTATCGGTTACAGATGCCACTGCTCAGTGGAAGATGAAATTAAAGGCTTCTGGGATAGTGCTACCCAGTACATTTGTTATTAATCCACAGATAAGTATAGATCTTGAGAGTGTTTCGATATGTTTATAGCAATTTGATGTTTTTGTTGTAGTTTTTAAAACATTGGTCCATGCCAGGTAGAAGTTTTTAGGTAGTTTGATAGCACACAGTCTCTTGTCTGGATCCTTTACCAACAGTGTGAGTGCCAGTCAGCTCCACTGGGAAGCCTTAATAAGCATGCTGTAGAGGATGGAATGAAAAAGCAGGTTATAGAATGTTCTCTGTTTACATATGCATATTAAGAGTATGGGGGAAATTGACCCCGCTTCTCTCAGTGGTCCTGTCTTGGGGATAAGATTCTGAGAGAGGCAGTATCTTTCACTTTCTGCTTTATACATATGTATATTTTGGGTTTTGTAATGCACATACACTATCTTTATTAAAATAGAAACAAAAGAGATCCTTGCCATTTCAGGAGAAGCAAAAGACCAGAAAACAACGCCGAGGTCACAGACTTTTCCAGTGGTGCTTCCTGGCTCTCCCAGTTTGTCAGAACTGTTCTCAAATCATCACAGCCCTACACATGGTCCAGGGACGTGGGAGCTCACGATTCCTGTTTGCTGCCTTGAATCATTTTTAGAGGGGGTGTTCAGAGTAAGAGAACATTCACATGGGGGAGAAGCCCTGGGTACATGAAGAATGTTTGCTGTTGGTACTTGTCTACTTCCTTGTCTGCCTCTAAATGCAGTTGTTTGCTACTTGTCTTCTCCAAAAAGGTATGGTTTCCGGAAGCCACCATATGTAGAGCTGAAAGCTCGGCCAAAACTTGGAGAGAGGGAAGTGACTCTAGTTCATGTGACAGACTGGATAGAGAAGAAACTGGAACAGGAGTTTCAGGTAAACGTGTGGTATCATCTGGTGTGTGTTTCACACGAGTCTCAAAGCTCAGGGCAGAACAGAGGTTCTGAATTTCATTTGGGTCAGGATCCTCTTTCGAGAATCTAATGAAAGCTATGGACCCTCATCCCAGGAAAGTACGTGTTATGATCAGACAGGCATAACATCTTAGGTACGATTTCAGAAACCCGGAGCCTCAGCCACAGAACCCTGTTAAGTAGTTCAGAGGAAACCCGAAAGTTGGGTCCACTAAGCCAGAGCTCATTCTCCAAGCCTGTTTTCTGCTTTCTGCCACCAAAGGAAATAATGTAGCCGAGGCCCTGGGATGAGCTATATCTACCAAATTTTTATCAGATATTCGAGGTCTGTCAACGTTTTATGGATTAGCAAACAATTTACTTTGAAATAAATGTCGCCGTTTGAAGGAGACCCATATTTTTGCAGTGGTATGTTTTAAGATACCGCCTTTGAAAAATTATGTTTTTATTTAAAAGCTATGGATTAGGGGCACCTGGGTGGCTCAGTTGGTTAAGTGTCCAATTTTTTTATTTAAATGTTTATTTATTTTTGAGACAGAGCGAGACACAGCATGAACGGGGGAGGGGCAGAGAGAGAGGGAGACACAGAATCTGAAGCAGGCTCCAGGCTCCAAGCCGTCAGCACAGAGCCCGATGCGGGGCTCGAACTCACAGACCGTGAGATATGCCCTGAGCCGAAGTCGGACGCTCAACCGACGGAGCCACCCAGGCGCCCCAAGTGTCCAATTTTTGATTTCAGCTCAGGTCATGATCTCACGATTTGTGAGATCAAGCCCCGAGTCAGGCTCCGTGCTGATAGCACAGAGCCTTCTTAAGATTCTCTCTCTCCCTTTCTCTCTGCCCCTTCCCGGCTCGCATGTGGTGCGTGTTCTGTCTCTCTCTCTTTCTCTCTCAAATGAGTAAACAAAAGCTATGGATTAACTTTAACTGAAAACCAATTTCTGGGAAGCTTAGTATTATCACCAAGCAGAAAAGTAGTTTGAACCTAGTGAGAGGAAAGGCAACCTTTAGGTTTTTTTTTTTTGTTTTCCCTAGAACCTACAATAGGAATTAGAGTGGGTTATCTCTTTCAGGGGTATTGCAGTACAAGGGGGAAAAGAAAGGCCAAGGGTCAGAGATTGGCTCCTGGTATTTTTGAGGCAAGTTGGGAAGTTGACAGGTGACTGTTACACCCTCCCATAGCCACCTTTTTTTGCTTTTGTAAGAGGGCATTACTGAAGACTGAATGCATTGCCAGGATTCACTTGCATAAAATTAGTTTATAAACATGATAGTCAAAGTACCATCATTATCAATCACTGATGATCCTTCACGTGATCATTATGGTAGAATTTCTTTCATATATAGCTTTGGTTCTGGTGTGAAAAAAAATTAGCTTACATTTTTTTGCTAGGGTTTAAGTGAATAAACTTACTTGGAATATGTGTTCTGGACTTAGTAATTTGGAAATATTATGAGCAACTTAAGCCAGTCCTCTTAAAGTAATGGTGTTAAATATTTATGAACTCATGAGTAGTTTTATTATATGTACATGAAATCAAAGGCTGCTTCTGCCTCAGACCTGTGTTCATGCACTGTGATTCCTCAACTATTTAAACGTGGCAGAGGAATTAGTTTAGAATGTGCACGAAAAGTTGGTTCATATGTACATTTAAAACTTATCTGAAACCTAAAATTATCAGAACAGAGTAGAGCAACAGCCTGAGGAACCCGAGCATCCTTCCACACGGCTATTCTTTAATTTCTTTCTACAGAAGGTTTTTGTCATGCCAAACATGGATGATGTCTATATCCCCATAATGCACTCAGCCATGGACCCTCGCTCCGCTTCCTGCCTCCTCAAAGACCCACTTGTGGAGGCTGCTGACCAGCTGTGATGGGTGAAGATCTGACCTTCCCAGTATTACGAGATCTGGCTCAAAGTGTGGGGTTCTTGGCTGCCATCTGCGCTGTAGCACTGGTCTGCCCTTGTGCCACAGCTTCTGCCCTCTGCCTGCCGGTGCCCATTCCACTGTGCGGTGTCATTCCACGCATCCGGGAACTGGTGTCTGCACTGCCTGCTGCAAAGCTTTGACTCAGCAAAGGGACTGTGGAAGAATGACCACGGTGGATCCAGAGGTGACAGGTGACTCACACCATGGCTCCAGTGTTTGTGGCAGCGAGAGCACAGTGCGAGCAAAGCTTACAACTGGAAGGCCTTCTTCCCCTTGCCCCGACTCCTCCAAAGCTTTTCCTCAGGCAGCCAGTGCACAATGGAACGTTTTTGCACTTCTAGTCCATAGGTGACACAGCCCTCCACGCTTCCAGAGAATGTCTGTTCAGGAACGTGAGCGGGGTGGGGAGTGGAACTTTGTGAACCATTTCACTGATGATAAAGAGATACGCGTAGCAACTTACCTTTCCTATTAAATTGTGCGTTTTGGAAGCAAGTAGCCATAGAACATACACACACTAACATCCTATCAGCTGGGGTGGGGACAGCGAGATTTATGTGAACATCAGGCAAAGCCATGAGATCAAACCATCCCAAGCCTTCTACCACTGAGGTACAATCACCTGGTTTCTAACTAATCCCAAATGTTTTCCTGAGACAGGAGGGTATGTGAAAATGTCCAATACTGCACATAAAGAATTGGGGTAGGGGGCGGAAAGCCAGAGCAAGGTCGATCTGGCACTTCCTACGTGCTCTGTGCTTTCTACAGGCCGTCTAAATGCTTTGTTAAATCTTAACTGGTTCGGGATGTTTTGAGGTTATGGGCAGTTTCCTCTTCTGACAGCCAAAGGCGAGAACTCTCTACCACCTTTGAGAGTTGAGACCAAGTTTTGCTCAACATTAAACACTACGTTAGCTCAGAACTCACGTGACCTTTCTTTAACGTTGCCAATCTTATTTTGTGCATTTGTGTCAGAAGGTCTTAGTTTACAAGTTTGGGGGCTCCCTAGTTGTATCATTTGCTTTGAGAAGTACACTTAAAACACAATTTTTTATTGTTTAAAAGCTGCATTCAACATCAGAACTACCATGGGTAACTTTTGATGACTTACATCTGTGGACAAAGCTAATCGTGGTTTTTTAAACAGCACCTTGCCTGAACCTGACTTTAAAGAAATTAATATATTGAAAAAATATATCTGAACCCTTGACTACTTTAACCGCACCATTAAAACATTTGACTTAAATTATTTGATCATTCCAGTCGGTGTACTGTTCTGATTTCTCATTGTGTAGGCCGATTTGCCTGTCAGTCTTGTTCACTGGTCTATTAGAATTTTTGTGCAATAACTAAAGGCAAAGGACTAGATGCACTACTGTGTAGATTACACGAGTCCCCTGTTGCACTTAACCGAATAGTATGTGGGGATTTACAGTCGCTTGCGTTGTTTCACAAAATAAATCTCTCAATGTCAAATACTAGATAAGCATCTAAGTTATTTCTACTGAATCCTTTTTAGGTAATAGGGAGACAATTAAGCAGTGGGTACAGGCCACTTGGGTCACTCAGCTGCCAAAGCAGCTTGGATTTCCTGGTGACCACCAGGCAGGTTTTCTAAACTGCAAGGCGGTCCTCACCACACCGAGGGAGCGGGGCACCCGGCTGGCTAAGTAGGTAGAGCATGTGACTCGATTTCGGGGGTCGTAAGCTCTAGCTTCACCTTCAGTGCAGATTACTTAAAATCTTTAGAACAAAATCTCCCTCTCCTGAGGCAGACGGTCTTGCTTCCGTGCACCCTCAACAGCCTAGCAATCCTGTTAACTTGGGGACCCCTGCGGTTATTACGGCCAAAGCAGTTGATACACTGCACTTGTGCATCCTCGGCCTTCAACATGTGCTGCCTTGTACTCAGAACTGATGCACATTTCCCCCAAACCCAGGGGACATCGCTACTCCCCTATCTGGACCCGGGAGGAGTGTGCGTTTACTTAGGTGCCTGCCGTGCCCGGCAATGCAGAAGATCGAAATTCTCTTCCCAACGACCTTCTTGAGGCTAACTGGGACACATTAATTTGTCCGAGCTTTTATTCCCATGCTTGGTACAGTATCCAAATAAGCAGTTGGCCCTAAATGGTAGTTATTCTCAAATAGATCACTGCCACACCTCAGCCAGGTGTTATTCTTGCACCATCAGGACCGAAACCAGTTCCTGTCAAGTACACCGCGGTCCTTAAACTGCTCAAGGCCACGTACTCCCCTCCCTTCAGGCACCCCCCCACGCCGCGGTTAACCTGCAGGTCCTGATAATCACGGAGACGACAGGACTTCCACAAAAGAACTAGGAACGTGCGGGAAACGGAGTAGCGGGGCCTATAGGATCCCCGTATTCTCCCCAGGGCACTTCCCACAACGTCGCCTACCCCCTTGCAGCCGGGTGCGGACGTGTGGCTCGCGGTTAAAAGGACCGCTGGCGGAGGACCGCGCGGCCCCAGTTATGCGCAAGCGCGTGCTCTGGCGCTGCAGCCTGACCCCCGGCGCCACGCGCAGGCGCGGCGGGGGCTCAAAGGCAGCGCGTCGCGAAAAGAAACACCAAGACCAGGGCTGGGATCAAACCATTTTATTCAAAGGCTTTGGGGAAAGGTCGAAGGGGAGTAGAAGGTGATCTACGTTCTCGGCCCGGCAGGAATCTGCAAGAACGACAGCAGTGGATTAGAAGACGTGCGCCCGCAGGCCGTTCCCTCCCCGCCGCCGCGGAGGCTCGGCTCAGACTGTAGTTCGCATCACCCGCGTCAGCAGTCTAACACGTGCTTTTTTTGGCATGTCATCACTGCAGGCCGCCCGCGACCCACCCGGCTCCAGGGCCCGGAGACCCGGGCCTAGGCGCCAGGACCCACCACAAAGTCTCACCTCTCGAACCTCACAGTCGCCGAAAGACTGAGCGCTTCCCCGCGGAGTCTACTTAAAGGAGCTGACAGGAGGCTGTTGGGCGGGCTTTACCAGCATTAACCAATAGCAAGTCAGACTTCCGGTCACGTGCCAATAAGGTCGCCTAGGGCTCATCTGCGCTCGCTGAGTCCTCCAGAGTGTAGAGTGGTCACTTGCTAACCATAGAGATAGGAGTGAAAGAAAGACCGAGAGTCCTGCAGTGTCCGTAAATTCTGGATTTCTTTCCGAGTCTACGTCGCTGGCTTGTAATTAGCACATTTCGCCACGGGACGCGGAAGGAACGTTTACAAACAGCACCCTACTAATGCGTCACTTGTTTGAGACATTCTGTGCCAGGAGCTAGGCTAAGAGCTGAGCGTATAAAGGTGACAATCTAACCTTGTTCCTGAGTTCAAAGTAACCTGTTTGGGTAAAAAAAAAAAAAAAAGCCTATGTTTGAAAGTAGGGTGTGTGCAACCAAATCCTGAACTTGTGAGGAATTTGTTGGATGACCCTCGGTTTCAGGAAAACAGGAATATTCAAAAAAGCTGTCGTGAGGATTAAATGGATTATTGTCAGTTGCCTGGCACAGGCCGAATGGTAAACAAATAATTGTTTTTAAAGGGCTGGTGTGATGTGGAAAACTTATGTGAGTGCAGTGCTTTAATAAATGCTAAAATAGGGGCATCTGGGTGACTCAGTTAAGCATGGGCTTCAGCTCGGGTCATGATCTCCAGGTTTGTGGGTTCAAGCCCCGAATCTAGCTTTGTGCTGACAGCTCAGAACCTGGAGCCTGCTTCGGATCCTGTGTCTCCCTCTCACTCTGTGCCCCTCCCCTGCTCACTCTCTTGTCTCTGTCTCTCTCAAAAATACACATTAAAAAAAATTTTTTTAAAGAAAATTTTAAAGAAGTAAATAAAT